AGGCTTTTGTAGTAAGATCTAATCATTCTTTGAATTTCCTCTGTGTCTGTGGTTATGTCCCTTTTCATTTCTGATCTTATTAATTTGCATGTTCTCTCTCTGTCGTTTGATTAGTTTGGATAGGGGTTTGTCGATCTTGTTGATTTTCTCCAAGAACCAACTTTTTGTTTCATTGATTCTTTGGATTGTTTTCTGTGTTTGTATTTTGTTGATTTCAGTCCTCAGTTTGATTATTTCCAGTCTTCTACTCCTCCTAGGTGAGTCTGCTTCTTTTTTTTCTAGAGCTTTCAGGTGTGCTGTTAGGTCTCCAATGTGTTCTTTCTCGATTTTCTTTGTGTGGGCACTTAGTGCTATGAACTCTTAGCACTGCTTTCATAGTGTTCCATTGGTTTGAGTATGTTGTCTCTTTATTTTCATTAAATTCAAGGAAGACTTTAATTTCTTTCTTTCTTTCTTTCTTGGCCGAGGTGTGGTTCAGTAGTTGACTGTTCAGTTTCCATGAATTTGTAGGCTTTCTGGGGGTAGCATTGTTGTTGAATTCTAACTTTAATCTGTGGTGATCCGATAAGACACAGGTGGTCACTAAAATTTTTTGGATCTGTAGAGGTTTGCTTTGTTACCAAGTATGTGGTCAATTTTCAAGAAGGTTCCATGAGCTGCAGAGAAGAAGGTATATTCTTTCCTATTTGGGTGGAATGTTCTATAGGTGTCTGTTAAGTCCATTTGCTTCATTACCTCCATTAATTCTCTAATTTCTCTGTTAGGTTTCTGTTTGATTGACCTGTCCATTGGTGAGAGAGGAGTGTTGAAGTCTCCTACTATTAGTGTGTGTGGTTTGATGGCTGCCTTGAGTTTTAGTAATGTTTCTTTTACATACGTGGGAGCTTTTATATTCGGGGCATAGATATTCAGGATTGCGACTTCATCCTGATGAATTGTTCCTGTTATGAGTATAAAATGGTCATCTCAATCTCTTATGATTGATTTTAGTTTGAAGTCAGATTTGTTAGAAATTAGTATGGCCACACCCGCTTATTTCTTAGGTCCATTTGCTTGATAAACCTTTTCCCAACCCTTTACTCTGAGTAGATGTCTGCCTTTGTGGTTGAGGTATGTTTCTTGTCAACAGCAGAATATTGGATCCTGTTTTTGTATCCAGTCTCTTAGCCTGTGCCTTTTTATAGGTGAATTGAGTCCATTGATATTAAGTGATATTAATGACCAGTGGTTATTGACTCCGGTTATTATTATTATTTTGGTAGTAGAGTTTGTGTGTTTCCCTTCTTTGAGTTGTGCTGGTGAAGGGTTGCTAGATGTCTGAGTTATTATAGGCAGTGTTGGCAATGTTGGATTCCTTGGGTTGTGATTTTTCTTCTATTATTTCTATAAGGCTGGATTTGTGGCTATGTATTGTTTAAATTTGTTCTTATCCTGGAATATTTTGTTTTCTCCATTGATAGTGAACGATAGCTTGGCTGGGTATAGTAGTCTGGGCTTGCATCTATGGTCTCTTAGTTTCTGAAGTACCTCTATCCAGGACCTTCTGGCTTTCATGGTTTCCATAGAGAAGTCCGGCGTACGTCTGATAGGTTTACCTTTATAAGTTACTTGTTCTTTTCCATTTGTAGCTCTTAATATTCTTTTTTTAATCTGTATGTTTTGTGTTTTGATTATTATATGGCGAGGGGATGTTTTTTTTTGGTCCAGTCTATATGGTGTTCTGTATGCTTCTTGAATATTCATAGGAATATCTTTCTTTATGTTGGGAAAGTTTTCTTCCATAATTTTGTTAAATATATTTTCTGGGCCTTTGAGCTGTTATTCTTCTTCTTCTATCACTATTATTCTTAGGTTTGGTCTTTTTATTGTATCCCAGATTTTCTTAATGTTTTGTGATGAGAATTTGTTGGATTTGCTGTTTTCTTTGATCCGTTCATTTATTATCTCTATGGTGTCTTCAGAGTCTGAGATTCTTTCTTCTATCTCTTGTATTCTATTGATTATGCTTGTTTCTGTAGTCTCTGTTTGTTGACCTAGATTTTCCATATCCAGTCGGCCCTCAGTTTGTGTTTTCTTCCTTGCCTCCATTTTGGTTTTCAGTTCTTGAACTGTTTCCATTACCTGATTGATTGTTTTTTCTTGGTTTCCCAGGGTATCATTTATGTATTTATTCATTTCTTCAAACTTTTTGTTATACTTCTCATCCATTTCCATAAGAGCATTTTTTACATGTTGTTTAATGAACTCTATCACTTTCATAATGTCAATTTTTCCCCTTCTTCTGGATTAGGGTGTTCAAGACCTTCTGTTGTAAGATCACTGGGTTCTGATGTTTTCATGTTGTTTTTCAGATTGGTGGAGGAATTCTTGCCTTGGCACCTGCCCATCTCTTCCTTTAAATGCTATCCAATGGATCTTATGGAACAGGATCAGGTTCCCTTGCTCACCAGGGACCTCCTGACAAAAGGCCTACCTTGTTGCAGGCAGGCTATTGAAGCAAAGGAACTCCCACCTGCCCCATTGCATTCAGCACCCCATCCCAGTGCCCAAACAGGCTGAGCTGGCAGATCTTGTGGCCCTGTGGAAGGGAGGAAGAAGGGAGGAGGTTCCTGGGTGCAAACTGGGATGGGTTAGGGAGACAGAGGCCTTACCAGAGGGGAGCAGCCCCTGCCAAATGACCAGGGAGTGAAGGGGGTCGGGGAATGTCTGTGCTCTGTTTCCGGGCTCCTACCCCATGCTTAATATTATAATAAGCTAAAAATCATTTCATTTTCCTAGAGACATAAGCTGGACCACTATCTGTCTTTTTTTGTGCAGGTATACTCATGACAGCCATAACTTCTAATAAATGTATGATTACTGAATCAGCCTTTTCTGAGCTTAATGCAGTTGCCCATTGAAAGCCTGAATAAGTGTCAATGGTGTAATGTACATACTTTAATTTTCCAAATTCTGCAAAGTGGAACACATCCACCTTCCAGATTCTATTTCTTTGTGTACCCTTTGGGTTAGTCCCTGCAGGTAGCAGTGTTTTGTTATAAAAAGAGCAAGTAGGGCACATAATATATTTTGATCAATACCATCCCCACCCCTTTTAATTCTTGATCTTCAGTAGTTGATGCAGCTTGGGAAGACTAAAGAGGAGTGGCCTTGCTAGAGGAAATATGTCACTGGGTGAAGGGATTTGAGGTTTTTCTTGCATCATTTTTATTTGCTCTGTGTTTTTCACTTATGCATCAAGATATGAACCCTCAGTTTTTGGCTCCAGCTACTGCCATTATGGTGATGGAACCTCATACCTCTGACACAGTGATCTCCAATAAACTTTCCTTCTGTAGGTTGCTCTTTCTATTTTCACAACTTTATTTTTGTAGTGCTCCAATGAGCACCAGAGACATCAAAATTAAAAAAGGAAAAGACATATTGACTTGGATAATTTTTGCAATGTAGTATACATCTTGATGATTTCCAAATTGTATTTAAGAACTTTATTCTTGAGATGTGATGCAGCTAGGTAATGATAACTGAGTACAATTTTTATGACCCACTTAGTAGAAGGTGAGAATCAGTTCCAACCAGTTATATTCTGGCATCCACACACATGCCAGTGTATGAACTTATCCAGTCCCATGTACAAAATAAATAATAAATTAAAATTTTAAAACACATTGTACAAGTAAACTAGTAAGGACATTTGATTGCATATATGACTAAAAATCAAATTAATTGCAATCAATATTTTCTTGATTTTTTTCAAGTGCAAATGGATGCAGAAGTCAAAACCAAACATCTCCTTATCTAGCTGTTTTAAATTACACATGCTTCTATTATTTTATATTAAACACTATTAAGAAGTCACAAGTTTAATATTGAATCTCAACCTTAAGACTGATAGATTCTAACATGTGAAAGGGTGGCATTGCCCAAAAGTTTCATGAGCGCAGGCTCCTGAATCCTGGGGCTCGTGAAATGACCCTTCAAGTAGAGGTGATTGCTGCCAGGTCTGGAAACCTGAGCCTAAACACCCAAGTTATACACACATGCACTCAAAACAAAGAAGAAAGTATAAAATTATTAACCACATATACCCTGACTATATAATAGCTTTCTAGATTTATCATGATTGAAAGGCTTTTAAATTTAAGTGATGGTATGTAAAAAAAGAACATTAAATTATATCTACAAAAGCAAAATCTTATCCTGGGAATCAAGACTGTGTGCTCCGTGTATAAATAGACAAAGGCTAGAACCTCGAGTTCCACAAACAAATGTGAGTTCTCTTTATGTTGGTTAAACGCCATGTCATTGGTCATGTCAACAATGTGATTTGAGCCTACATTAGTGGTGTATCCACAAGTGCATTTGAGCCTCTGTAGTATTACCAATATTTCATTCATGGTTCAAGTTCATGGGTGTTGAAAACATGATTGAAAAATGGTAAGATTCAGTATTCTTCCCCCAATATCTGATTGGCGAAAAAGATAATAGGGAATAGATTCTAAAATGTTGGTTGGCACAACACATAAAAAGGTTCAGTTGGGAGAAATCCACACATAGGTTTACAAAAATATAGGAACTGGTTATGCCCAGAAAATAAAGTCCAAGTAGAGATGAGAAATTGTATTTTTGTGTAACTATCAGCTACATGTAAGTTTTAAGTTTCAAAATCAAGTTTTAACAGTGCCCCTTCCAGTTAAAATAACATGATATCATCTTGGGTTTTGTCTTCCGTTTTCTTAATAGGCACATAAAGTCAATGAATAAAAATCTATCTGAAACATGGGACAGCAATCAAACATCAGAAACTGATAATAAAAGTTAATTGTCCATCCCTAGTGAAGTTCTCCAGGAACCAATCTGCACAGTAAATGACCCAATGTCAACGCCAGCACACAACTGCCAACTAGGATGCTGGACACTGCTCCAGCCAATCATTCCGAAAGGCTGCTATATAAGGCAAGGAGGTGACTCTGAGCCTTATCAATCAGTGTGCTCTGGGCACCTGCAGGGCAGAAACAGTCACTCACACACAATGAAGGTCGCCATCCTCCTGCTTATGCTCAATCTGCTCGGTGTCTCCAGTGTGATGATGAATACAAATCTCAAAAAGAAGGTAGTAGGCCTGCATGGGATGGGGCTGTGGGGGGTGGGTGTTCTTGTCAGAGACAGACACAGGCAGAGAGACAAGAAGACACAGAGAGAGGCATGGGGGACCGTGGGGCAAGACAGACAGAGAGAAAGAGGCAGAAAGACAAAGAGGGGAAAGTTGGTATTTTCTATGTCTTGGAGTGGAGAGTGACAGAGGAGTAGTCTAATGGCTTGTTTTCTGAAAGGAAAAAAAACAGAGGGACAGAGACTAAGAGATAGAAACAGAAAGTAGAATGCTCTGGAAGTTAGCATTCTATACTTGTGAGAGTAGTAAGAGAGAGAGAGAGAGAGAGAGAGAGAGAGAGAGAGAGAGAGAGAGAGAGAAATAGTCTTAAAGATGTTTTTTGGGAATAGAGACCTAGAGAAATAAAGAGGCTAAGAGATAAAGAGAGAAAGACACAGATTAATGCTTCTGAAGGTAAGTTTTCAGTGTGTGTTTGTGTGGAGAGAGATGAGAGAGAGGGAAGAATGTTTTGGAAGTAAGTATTCTTTATGTATCTGTGGAGAATGGCAGAGAGAGAGAATGGACTAAAGAGTGGTTTTTCAGAGAGCTAGAGACAGAAACCAAAAGAGACACTGAGAGAGACATGGAAAGAGAGACAAAGAGAGAATGTCCATCAGTCTTGCACCAAGGGTGAGTTCAACTTTCTACTAAAATCTGTACACCTTCATCTCTTTGACATTTCTACTCCTGTCCCTCTTCCTATGAACAAATGGAAACCATGATGATGGATACAATAAAATAATTGAAAGAGGCTGAATTGTACTAATGTTTCTGTTTGCAGTGGCCACTATTTACTTTGGCCTGTTATCCAAAATTTAAAAGTAGGACTCACACAGATCTGCAGAAAAATCAAGATGACTCAATTCAAGCAAGAGTTCAGATTACAGACAGACACATTTCCAAGATTGACAGTAGGCCACATGACTGACAGGACTCAAGGGCCCCAAGTTATTATGTGCATCTCATCCAGGGATCCCAAAGGCAAACAAGATGGTTACTAAAGGTCCTTTTTTATTTTGATTAACAGATTAAATCATTTATTTCTCCAACTGCATGTGCCCTTTACCACAAGGCATGACTTTAATCATATATATGCCCAATATTACACAGAAGCATTAAGTGACCAGTAGGGTAAAGTTATTTGAAAAGCATGTTTTTGTCTTACTGGACATACACTCAAAACCAGATCAGTGTGTCTATTCTTCCTACCTGAATACATTGAGAATATACTTGAATGAAAACTGTTCAGACTTGATCATTGCTAGGGATTTGGGAAATCCTACACCATCTTCAGAGAGAGATATATGAGTAGCCAAATGCAGGTGGGAAGGGAGTTATTAATGGGTTCTTATGTGAAGATCACTACACAATTGTTCACAGATGGGTATGAGAGTAGCCTGACCCAGATGAGTAGGGAAGAGAAAAGATTGATATATGCAGAACTCTATACCATTATTCCAAGAGGGGTTTGTGAGTAGCCTGAAACAGGTGGGAGGGGATAAAATCATTATTAGGTTCATTGCTCAGAATATGTACAAACATAAAGAAGCTAAGCCACCTAATGCATTATTACAAGGCCAAGTCATGGTTTACCCCGTTCAAGCCAAGTCCCAGGTTACTAAACTATCCCCTACTCTCAACTGCCTTGTTTTCAAAGCCACTTTTTTTTCCAGATTGAAGGGAATTGGCAAACTGTTTACTTAGCTTCTAGTTCTGTCGAGAAGATAAAAGAAGGCTCACCCTTGAGAACCTACTTTCGTCGCATTGAATGTGGGAAGAAATGCAAGCAAATCTACCTCTATTTTTATGTCAAGTAAGATATAAAACAAAATAGAACTATCCAGATTGTGGGATGTCAGCAGAGAAACATGATGTTCTCAGTCAACATTCATGTCAGTGAACATCAACAGCACCAAATAAGGATTCTTACATCATTTTGCTCTGTATGAGTCAAAAAATCACATATGACAGCCATACTTTAATTTAGAATGAGTTTATTGAGTGTGTGACAAGCCAAAGTAAAATAATAAATATCAAAAGGTAGATGATAATTACATATAGATGGCATATAAATACATAGATAATAGATATATCAGTACATAGGTGATACATGCATATGGAAGTAGATAGATAATAATTAGATACATGATATATATACAGACATACAGATAGACAGATAGATAGATAGATGGATAGATAGATAGATAGATAGATAGATAGATAGACAGATAGATAGCAGATATATAAGTGGATAGATAATAGATAGGCAGATACATACATACATACATACATACATACATAGATATAAATAATACATAAATAGATAATAGACCCATCTATCTGGGGTGATCAAAGAAAAACACATTAAGTTGTAAAATGCATGTGGGAATCCCTATGTTCAAAACCAGCTCCTAGGGGAAGTTAAACAGAATAACACAATATCAAAAAATATACATTACGATTGTTTAATTTTCTATTTATCAGTGCTCAAAAACACTGTTGGGGAGAAGGTAAATTGTCCCAAATAATAATTTCAGTGCTTTTAAACTATCTGGATATAAGTGAAATTATCCATTGAGGATATACATCGATCTGTGATCGTGGAAGTTTTTATCAAATGTAGTTTATATTTGAAACTTTTCATTCATTAATGATTTATTTATAATATCAGTTTTCTGATACAGAATCTCTGTATATCATGCTGGCTTTGAACTCAACACAGAATAGAAAACAAACTTTTTAACCTTTTATTTATTATGTCAGAGATGTGCCTGACCCTACCTCCTGATGGCTGAGATCAAAATTATGTACCACCACATGCAGCCTAATTTTTTAAGTTTCTTTTTTATTATTATTACTTTTGAGAATGGCATTGAACTTCCTCTCCTGCATCAGTGTCCCAAGTGTTAGGATGACAAGCAATACAAAAATACTTGGCTTGATATTTAAATTTAACACACCTGAAATAATTTAAAAGTGCAACAGTTCAAAATCAATTAGGTGAACACACTAACATGTTGAGAGATAAAATTTTTATTTTTTAAATACTTTTTTAACTAAAACATACTTATTTCCTCCTTCCCTTTTCTCCCTCCAAAGCTTCTGATATACTCTCCTCCCTTGGTTTCTCTCAAATCTTATGTTCCCTTTTCTTCAATTGTTCATATACACATATGGTCTTACATATACAAATATAACATGTTCATTTCATATACTGCTATTGTATAAATATGATCTCAGGGCAATCACTTGGTATTTAAAAACCAAGTGGTTTTGGAGGAGGGAGGGCTTTTCCTCAGGAAAGACTATAAAATATCCTAAAATTCATATGGAACCAGAAAAGATCCAGGCTAGCTAAAACAATACTGATCAAAAATAACAGTGCTGAAGGGATCACCATTCCAGATACAAACAATATTTCTTAAAGCACTGAAAATGGACCCCAAGACTTTCAACAGGCATTATGGAACTACATCCCCAATCTAAACTGTTAGTTCTATCTTTTATCTTTTTGGTTGTGAGCCTAGCCTTTAATGGCTGAGCCATCTCTTCTGCCCAATTATTCCCATTTTTATAAGATAAAGACAAATCTAAACTGTGGCTGTCAGCTAATCATCACATGGACCTCTGGTAAGTGAATGTAGATCCAAATACATGGCCATTCTTGTGGCTCTACGGATCTCCTAAGAAGTCAGTGGACATCCCAATCTAAATCTCAGAAAACAACTAAAGGCTATTTAAATTCACAAGGCAATTGCTGCTACAGAATCTATAAGATCAGTGATATTTATGAAAGGAAAATTTTAAAACGTGATTACAGTGTAAATATGGAAATTAGACTATAGTGTATGGAGGATGCTGCATTGTACTCTGTATCAGGTGACCTCATACCCTATTAATCCAATGTCTACAAACATTTCTCATTTCAAATTGGGGTGGAACCTTTGGTCACTATTTTGTTTTTTTTTTTCTTTTATCAATAGTTGTTCTTTGGGTATTGGGGATTCAACTGTGGCCCAGCATGTACCACAGATCCCAGGACTCCATCCTCAGCACACAGGTGTGGCCCTATATGGCCAACATCCCAGGGCTTGGTGAGTGGAGGTGAGATCAAGTTCCAAGGTCATTCATTGGTCAGGGGTCAGGACAGGTGACAAGTGTCAAATAGAGGAACTGATTCTGTACCATCAAAGATACCTGCAAACCCCAAACAGAGTTATTGATGACATTTAAGTATGCTATTGATTATATTTAGAGATGATGTCATACAACAACGTGTGCTTATGACAGATCTACAGATGAAAATGTGGTTAGCATTAAACTGTCCTGTCATTCATGTAGAATCCAAAATCAGGACCCTGGAGCAATCCAAAATAAGACAACATCCATGCATTTGTTTTTCAGGAAAGGGACCAACTGCCAGAAGTATGAAATCATAGGAAAGAAAAGGCAAGAATTTTACCAGGCACAGTGTGAGTAGATGATTCCAGGGCAAACGCATGACACTATTTTTTTTAATTCACAATCTTAGTTGTATTTTGCATATCTGGATATCTACATTCCAGTGCAAACATCTCTACAAATTAAAAATGCAATCTTGGAGAAAGCCCCTTCAATTTCTTCCTTGTCGTTTTGGATCTAATAGCAGACTTTGTTTTGCTGTTATGGTTGTTGCTATTTGGTTTTGGTTTTGTTCTTAGGTGACATTTTAAAACATTAAACTGTGTTTGTACCAGGTACACTTCCCTCCTGTAGCTTTAGGCCTAAACTAAATCACAGACATGAGTCTGAGAATGGTTAAAAGAATCAAAAAGTGATTTGAGCATTTAAAAAAAAAGATGCAAAATAAAAACTAGGATTTTCTCATTGATTAAAATGACTCCCAGAAATTTTCAAAAACTAATCTTGTAATGCATAATTATGAACTAACTAAATTTCATAATTTTATTGGGGATAAAAATTATTTACAGTATATAAGTGTAATCGTCATGAATAGTCCTATCTTTTAAATTCAGGAGTATGACCTAAAATATGCAGAGATCCACTTATAAATAATGAATCAGTTTAATTTGTCCTAAAACAGGTGTTAAGAATCCTTTTATTATTTTGTATTCCACCATCAATAGTCGATTTAGCCCAATTCAATAAAACAGACAGACCGCACATGCCACCGACTCTAGCTCAGTTTATCAGTGAGTTTATTGGACTTAAATACAGGAGCAGACTCAACTCACATGCAGATACCTCACCAAAAATCTCACCCCCTTTTGTGTATTATGTAATTTCAGGAGACATTCTGTGAGTTTGAGGCCAGCCCGGTCTTCATAGCAAGTTTCAAACCAACCAGGGTCTCGGAACGAAAATGACTTACCACTGACATGAGAAGGAACAGTCATCATATCACTCGGGAGGGTCTTATGTCTGTCCCTTCCCCTCTTTAACAAGAAATGTTAGTAAGCCGGTGGGTGTACTGAAGTCACTTACAAGAGTATGTGTGACTCAAATATGGCTGCGTTCCTAAGGAGCCCACCCCTGAAGAGTGGGTGACTCTCCTAGAAGCTGCATCTCTGGACCTGTGTGTAAAGCTAACAGGCAGCTGGGCTAGTCAAAGACTCCTCTGTCAACAGCTGTTTGCTGTTTTCCATAACTTTGTGGAGTGGCCTACTGAAAGTTGTTCTTTTCAAAAAAACTTCCTGAGTTTCGTGGGTTATTTACTTCTTGAATCTCATGAGCTCCCAATACAGAATGTTCTGGTTTGGAGGAAATTGCTGTGGCATCTCTCTTGTTTCTCTGTCATGTGTCTAAAGAATAGGTAAAGTTAAATAACTGTACCACTAAATATAATAGGATCAATGAAAATGCATATATATATATACATATATGTGTGTTACTATATATTATATAATATTATATATTATATAATCATACAGCTTTTCTCAATATGTATATATGTAGATTATTCTACAATTAAATTTAATAGGATTCATGAAAAAGCATGCACATGTATGTATATGCATATAATCATACAGATATCCTCAGAGAGAAAAAGGATTGCAGTAATACCTTCTGTGCACCTACACATCCTGGTATCAGGAATATTGCTATCCCAAATCAATATAGGTTCTACATATTTCTAGGTAACTATGAGATACGAGATATGTTTCATATCTTTTTTTTTTTTTGAATTTTCGAGACAGGGTTTCTCCGTAGCTTTTTTGGTTCCTGTCCTGGAACTAGCTTTTGTAGACCAGGCTGGCCTCGAACTCACAGAGATCTGCCTGCCTCTGCCTCCCGAGTGCTGGGATTAAAGGCGTGTGCCACCACCGCCTGGCTTATGTTTCATATATTAAAGCAGAAGTATAAATTTGCTTTCTTAATTCCCTGTCTGTCTTGACTGGTTGCAACACATGGAGCAGAATATTATGGGCCAGAGACCTATAATCCATGTATACATTGATAAAGATGCATTGTGAATGAGCCTGGACATTCATCTTGTAATCATTATATTATTTATATGTATATTTCTTATCTATCTCAGATGAAGGAAAAATAACATTCATGGTAAAAATGGTGAATGAGAAGATATTGCTGTTTCATTATTTTAACAAGGACCATACGGGGAAAGTCACACGAGTAGCTGGAATTCTGGGTGAGTCTCACACATGGAACTCATCATCCAAGTATGTTGTTCAAGGACTTGGGTGAGTGCACATTGCTGTGTACAAAATTCAAAGTATGTTTGTACATCTGACTCTGTTCTTCATGTTGATAAACCGCTGAAACGGTGATGGACAGCTTTAACAAAAAAAACTTAGCACAACCCAAAATCCCCTGGAAAGGGTCTGAGTGGGGGATTTCCCACAGCCGACTGGCCTATGGGGGTGTCTTTATTGATTATTGACATAAGAAGGCTCCACCCGCTGGGGACAGCACCATATCCTGGCAGGGAGATGATGTTCTGTGAGCTTCAACTATCAACTGACACAACCCAGAATCCTCCAGAAAGGGTCTTAGTGAGAGATTTCTTAATCAGACCAGCCTGTAGGCATGTCTGTGTGAGTGTCTTGAATAATGATTGACACAAGCAGGGCTTTTCTTACTGTAGTCAGCATTATTTCTTAGACAGACCATCCTAAAATATATCAGGCTAGAAAAATCTGGACAAACACAAGCACATATTCTTGCATTCTTTGCTCTCTGTTTCTGACTATGGATGTAGTGTGTCAGCTCCCCCAAATTTCTCCCACTGGAATGGGCTATAACCAGGAAATTTACTGCAGAAATAAACCCTTCTCTGCCGTAAATTATTTTTGTAAAAGCATTCAGTGAGAATATTGAACAATGAAATTGAAATATTAAAAGTTTATCTGTTAAAAAATAAATACATGCTTCTTCTGTTGAGACATAGAAGATTTTAATAAAATTTCCACACATTTTTTCCAGCATTTATGAATTACACATCAACCAATCATCATGCCAAGTCTCATGTAGGTGTAGTCTGGGATTTCCATTTTCTAACAAAGCAGGAATTGAAATATTGCTTGACCACATTAAGTGGGTTTGTTGTTTGAATTCATGTCAACTGAAAATCCTGGCTTTCAGCATTATTGTTTCTACTTTACAAATCCTGACTCGCAAATCTTAATTATCACGTAGCCTGAAGTCTGATTGTACTGGATTCTGTCAGTTTCTCATAGATGCAAACCCTCTTGAGCTGACAAATTCCTAACCCTGCCATCAAAGGCACTGGAGTATATTGTATAAGACCCTCATTTCCTACCAGAATTAAACCTTTATTTCTTAATTTATTATGAAGGGATTATATTTCATGGGGGCATGTTACTCATTAGCAAAGGGTTTTTTTTATGCGTACAAGTGTCTTACCCACATTTAGGTGTACCATGTGCATTCTTGGTGCATATGATAGCCATAAGATGGCATTAGATCTGGTCGTGCAACACTATGTGTGTGCTGGGAACTGAATGTAGGTTCTTACCCATTCTTAACCACTGAGTCAAATGTCACCCCTCTAATATTTATGATGATTTCAGATCAGTTGGTTCAGCAATCTGAGAAAGCATCAAGAACCCATAAGAATGGATTCTAGAATATAAATGGAAACAATATAATGACATATAGTTATGATAGTAAAAATGCTACTGCTCAGTCATTGTTTTCTGGAATTGCTTTGGAGGCTGTGTAGGAGTTTGGTATATTGAAGTCTACATCCCCCTCAAAAAAAACTGTCGATATTACAAGAACAAGAGAACATGGCATGTTACATCCTGGGATCCACACAGTATTTTCATTTCTCAGAAGGACATAGTTTCTCATTATCAATCTAATGGAAGAAATGGGAGTAATATTGTGCTTTGGCTCCTCCAGGAGACTCAGCATTGGAAAGTATTTTATTAATGTGCTGGAGCTAATGTTGTGCCATCTTCTTCCTTATACACCATGAAATGCAGCAAAAGCCAAACAACTGACTAAGGATGAGATGACACAGTATATGGACTTTGTGGAGGAAATTGGCATTGAGGATGAGAATGTACAACGTGTCCTGGACACAGGTAAAATAGCAACCTGAGTGTGTGTGACTTTTCATGTTACATTTTATAATAAATGTTATTTTTTTAATTATCTGGGGTATTGGAAAATGGCTCTGGGGGAAAGTGCACACAAGCATGAATACCTGAATTTGGATCCCATGTAGAAAGCCAAGAACACCAGAGCTAGGAAGGGGTGAGGACAGAAGGAGTCCTGGAGCTTTCTGGCAACAAATATAACTGAAAGATCTTGTTTTAAAACTAAAAATATGTAGGATGAATAAGGAAGATGTTTAAAAGTCAGCCTCTTGCCTATATATGCATGGACTGCACACAGGTGAACTCACATGACCATGGACACACCAATGAACCATGAACATAAAAAAATTCTATATGAGGGGGTTGGAGAGATGGCTCAGAGGTTAAGATCACTAACTGCTCTTCCAGAGGTCCTGAGTTCAATCATATGGTGGCTCACAACCATCTGTAATGAGATCTGGTACCCTCTTCTGGCCTGCAGGCATACATGGAGGCCAAATGTTGTATACATGATAAATAAATCTTTAAAAAATTCTATATGTAATGAAACTTGACTCCTACTATCCTCTGTTCAGATATTCTACTCAAAACATCACTTTTCTTTCTGCACTTTCATAAAAATAGCACATATATAGTAATGATATTATTAATATTATGTTAAAATAATGTATTGCTTTAAATATTATTATATTAAATAATATATTACTTTGATAATAATATTATTATAGTAAAAATAATATCATTTTTCCATTTTCACTTTCTTGCAGACACCTGTCCAAAGAAGATCAAGACTAGGTGAGTGTTTAGCTCATTTTATATCTTGATGTCTAATTCATTTCTGTTTTTTAATAATACTTCATTTGTTGTTTAACTTTTCATATATGTATATATTTTGATCTTATCCACTCCCCCCCCACACACACAATCCCTCCAACTATCCTCAAGACCCACCAATATATGTTCTTCTATACTTTGTGGCTTTTAAAATTATTTTTTTTTCAGCAGTTAAGAGCTCTTACTGTTCTTTTTTTTTCAGTTTATTTATTTTTTTTATTGAGAAAAGGAAAAAAAAGTTTCCCCCTCCTCCCAGCCTCCCATTTCCCTCCCCCTTCTCCTACCCTCCCATTTCCCTTCCCCTCCTCCCACTCTTCTCCCCCTCCCCCCACTCCTCTCCCCCTCCCTCTCCAGTCCAACGAGCAGTCAGGGTTCCCTGCCCTGTGGAAAGTCCAAGGTCCTCCCTCCTCCGTCCATGTCTAGGAAAGTGAACATACAAACTGACTAGGCTCCCACAAAGCCCAAACATGAAGTAGGATCAAAACCCCGTGCCATTGTCCTTGGCTTCTCATCATCCCTCATTGTTCGCCAAGTTCAGAGAGTTCGGTTTTATCCAGTGCTTGAAGTTCTAGCAATAGCAATAAAACAACATAATGGGATCAAGGGGATTCGAATTGGAAAGGAAGAAGTTAAACTTTCGTTATTTGCAGATGATATGATAGTCTACATAGCGACCCCCAAAACTCCACCAAAGAACTTTTACAGCTGATAAACAGCTTTAGTAATGTGGGAGGATACAAGATCAACTCCAAAAAATCAGTCGCCCTCTTATACACAAAGGATATGGAAGCAGAGAGGGAAATCCGAGAAGCTTCACCTTTCACGATAACCACAAACAGCATAAAATATCTTGGGGTAACTCTAACCAAGAAAGTAAAAGATCTATTTGACAAGAACTTTAAGGCATTGAAGAAAGAAACTGAGGAGGATGCCAGAAAATGGAAGGACCTCCCCTGCTCTTGGATTGGGAGGATCAACATAGTAAACATGGCAATTCTACCAAAGGCAATTTATAGATTCAATGCAATCCCCATCAAGGCTTTTAAAATTATTACTATTATTATCATTATTATTATTCGCTACATAAGTCCAATTAGTGCTATTTATGAATGGGGATGAGGCCATCCCAAAAGGCATGGGCAGTGTAATGTACCAGGGGCCACACCCTTAGAGAAAAAAAAGATCCTTCCTCCCCTGAAGCCATCAAATGTCAATAGCCTCTAGTTAGGGGTGGATACTCCTGAGCCCCTCCCCACTCCACACCATTCTAGACTGTTGACTGGCTTTATCTTACCTGGGCCTTGTGCAGATGATCATGGTTGCTGTGAGCTCTCATGATTGTAACAGCCATGTCGTGTTCAGAAAACAGAATTTCACAGCTCTCCTTCCAACCCAGGTGACCACTGATGGCTGAGCATCCACTGTCGCTTATCCTCAGCACTTTGACCAGCTATGAATGAACCACTCCTCGTTGTTAAAAGTTGATGTGAGGCCAGTTTTGGAGTCATACACCTTTAATTCCAATACTTGGGAGATTAATCTCTGTGAGTTTGAGGCTAGCCTGTTCTATGTAGTGAGCTCCAAGACAGCTAGAGTCTCTGTCTAAAAATAAAAAATAAAAACAAAGTAAAAAATGGACTTGACCAAAGTTTAAGGCAGCATAAATTTATGAGTATTTTTTAAGATGATAGCTTGGAAACAGGACAGTTTATCACCACTGATCTTCCCCTTAGGCTCCATGATCTCCATTGTCTTGGGCTTTTGACAAGAACATAGCGGACAATGAGGAACACTGAGAATTCAAGAACAATTGCAGTGGGTTTTTGATCCTACTGCACGTACTGGCTTTGTGGGAGCCCAGGCAGTTTGGATGCTCACCTTACGAGACCTGGATAGAGGTGGGCAGTCCTTGGGCTTCCCACAGGTCAGGGAACCCTGATTGCTCTTCGAGCAGATGAGGGAGGGGGAATTGATCGGGGGAGGGGGAGGGAAATGGGAAGCGGTTGTGGGGACGAGGCAGAAATCCTTAATAAATAAATAAATTTAAAAAAAAAAAAGAAAATGATGGATATAATCACAATACTAGCAGAATAAAGTTTCTACAAATGCTAAAAAAAAAAAAAAAAGAATTACAATAGAAACCCACACCTACTCCTATTCTTCTCTAGACATGAGAGCTCTCCCATGGAGTTGGCAACAAATCCAATCAGAAAGTGGTTGGTTCCCCTAGGATGTCCTTTATTGCACCAGTGGGCATAAAGCTGATTTTATAGCATGCAGGGTCATCATGGTGACATCATCAATGTCTTACTGCCATATACACACCCTACAGAGTACCTCCAAGTACTGTAGAAGCCAACTCACAGAGAGAGAGTTTTCTAGTTTATTTGAGATTGATTTCTTGATGCCCTACAACCACAGCATGTAGTGTCTTCAGCAATGGTGTCTTACCATTTAGTTATGGTAAACAACCAAGAGATACAGCAATAATCAAGTTATTTTGGTGACTCCAGGACCTCCCTTTACTTATAAATGATAAGGTGGTACCCCATAACTGGAAATGAGATTTTCATTGAAAAATCCACATCGTCTGGAAACAGTACTGTGTCTTTGCAGGGTTCCTCTAATGAAACTCTCTTGTTTTATGCTACATTTTAATTAGCTTACAAACTAGTAGATTTCTGTAGTTTTGGTTGACCCACCCTACCTCTGCTCTTACCTATGGCCCAACCACATCTACATCTGCTCCTTTAACCCACGGCATGCCACCTCTAATCTTGTCTGTCACCTGTGTTTCATTTTCCATTTTAATTATACTTTACACTTTTGTAACAAGGTCATAGGTTTCCATATGATTTTTTTCCTTTTTCTCCATATGAATTTTTAATAACCCTTCATTTTAATTAAACCTTCCATCATGCCCTGATTTTGCCTTTTTACATTCTACTCTGTGATTGAACCTTCCCGCACCAGTATTCTTCTTTATACTTTCATTTTAATTGGATTTAACTATCTCTCCTCCCTTGACGGGTCTGTCCCTAATGACCTGTTTCTAATTACCTGGCTAATTAGAAGTTAAACATACAAAGTAAAAAGTACAATTCTAAAATCAACAAGTTAAATAACATACACAGTTTGTCTTTCTGAGCTTGGTTGATCTCCTTGAACATAATATTTTCCAGCTTCTTCTATTTACTTAAAAATTTCATTTTTCTCTATGGCTGAGTAATATTCCATTTTATATACTACAACACTTTCCTTATCCATTCATCAGTTGATGGACATCTAGATTAATTTCTAGCTATTGTGAACTTTACTGCAATGAGCATGGATATTCAAGGGTCTCTGTAAGAAATATTAAAGTCCTTTGGGCACGTATCTAGAAATGGTATAGCTGGGTCATATGGAAATTCTGTTTTAGGTTTTTGAATTTTTTGTTTGTTTGAGGTTCACGGTGTTTTATTTGTTTGTTTTAAGTTTTTTGTATATTGGAGACATTAATCCTCCATTAGATGTGTAGCTGGAAAAGATCTACATTACTTAGGATGACTCTGCATTTAATTGACAGCTTGCTTTGCTATAGTTTTTAATTCCACAATATTTGACTATTACTGTTCTTACTTCTTTGCCACAAAAATCCTATTTAGTGTAACATGAGGGCCTGGTGCTTGTTGGGGTTTCTGTACCGCCCCGTCCCCCAGTCATTTAGTTCCAGAGAAAATCACACAGAGGTCTCCATAAGATTATAAACTGATTGTCCCATTGGCTCAGGTTTCTTATTAGCTCTTGTAACTTATATTAACCCATTAACCTTATCTATGTTAGCCACATGGCTCAGTACCTTTTTCAGTGGGGCAGGTCACATCCTGCTTCTTTGGTGATTTGGGCAGGAGGGTGGAAGAGCTTCCTTCTTCCCAGAATACTCCTGTTCTCTTTGCTCTACCTCTACTTCCTGTCTGGTTTTCCCACCTATACTTCCTGCCTGGCCAATCAGCATTTATTAAAATATAATTGACAGAATACAGAAAATTATCCCACACCAATTCAGAGAGTTCACATCTGTGCCTATGATCAAAGTACACTTCTTGCTTTCTCCTCTATCAGTTTCAGACTACCAGGTTTTACATCACAGTTCTCGATCCATTTGGAGTTGAGTTTTTTGCAGGATGAGAGGGAAGGCTCCAGGGCCATTTCTCCACATCTTCAGATCCACTTTTCCCAGTTTGTTTATTCTTTAGCAATTCTATCTCTTTATTGAGTAATATATACTTAGTTTAGGTCATTTTCCTTCTTTCAGTGGAGACATTGACAATATCCAGAAGGTGACTAATTCTTACTAGTGTTGAAATGGAATTCTCGTCTATGGGCCCAGTGTTGGGGAATGCAAGTTCTACCTCTAGTCTTCCTCCGAGAGTCAATCTGGGACTTTGAGTGAGATTCCTGCTGTAGGGTACATGGGGTAAACCTCAAAGTGAAAGAACCTTGAAACAAGCATTATATTAGTTTAGATTCATAGAAACTATGGACTCAAATAAGTACATAACTATATAAGTTCTAAGAAATCCCAATTTAGGTCTTGATGTAAGATCATTTATCATATTAAACTTTTCCATATATAGGAAATTTCAATTAAAAATTCATGTATATTATCAAACATACAAAGTCCTGTAAAATGTTTTTGCATGATACATCTTGTCTCTTTAATATCTTGTATTTCTTGTATTTTCCACTCTCATCAAATATCATGCACTACTATCTTAAATATATTAAATAATTCTGTTCCAACCTTACAGATGACAGCATCAGGAATTTTCCAATAAATCCTTCCTGAAGCCTGAAACATCAATATGAAGATGGAGCTTCTTTTCTCTTAGAAGATCACATCTCCCTATTTACTGTATATTACAATTCCTGTCTCCATATTTTCTCTTTCATCTGTCCTTTCCTGTGTTCTAATCAGGGTTAGTGCATCTTTGAATATTTAAATAAATTTTTTCACTTGCATACACTTCTTTGAAGAAAGAAAGCTAAAGCACAATACACATAAGTATCTATTGGACTTTTTTAAAAGGAGAGGAGGGTTGGATAGATTGATTGAAGGTTAAGAGTGCTTGCTGCTCTTCCAGAGGAAATGTGTTCTATTATTAGTGCCCACATTGAGCAGCTCACAACTGTAGTTTCGGGGAACCTGGTACCCTCTTCTGGAGTCCTTGAGCACTGCACACAGATTACACACACACACACACACACACACACACACACACACACAGAGAGAGAGAGAGAGAGAAAGAGAGAGAGAGAGAGAGAGAGAGAGAGAGAGAACATAAATCTTATTCAAGTATGGATTAATAATATCAGATAATTTTGTATTAAGAACAATTTCAGGGATTAGGGTGTAGCTCATTTGTTAAAGTGTCTACCATGCAAGGGTAAAGCCCTGTGTTCAATTCTTAGAATACATGTGAAAAGCTGTATGGTGGGCCATGTCTGTAAATTCAGCACCAAGGAGGGAGGTTGAAACAGATGAATTCTCTGATGTCACCAGGAGTGAGCCTAGACTACTTAAAAAATCACAGCCCAGTGAGACACCATAACAAAAAATAAGGTGGATGTGCATTAAAGAATGAAAGATGACACCTGACTTTGTTCTTTGTCCATCGATGTTCAGATGCACACACGTGCATCCACAAGCACAGGTATTCAACTACACACACACACACACACACACACACACACACACACTCAAGAATTTCATCATTCCTGCATGTTAAAGACCCTGCTACTATTGTTTTGACTTTTAGAAAGGAAGGTAAATTATCATATTGGCTGCTAAAGGTGAACATTAAAAGGTTTGTTTGCTATTAGTTTTATATCAACTTGGCACAAGCTATAGTCACTTCAGAAGGGAGATACTCAATTGAGAAAATGTTTCCACATGGTTGGACTGTTGAAAATGTTCTGGGATATTTTTTTGGATACATGGTTAATATGGGAGGGCCCAGCTCACTGTGGAAAACACTGCTGAGCCAGCCAGTAAGCAGCACTCCTACATGGCCTCTGAATCAGATCCTGCTTCCAAGTTCCTGCCTTGACTTTCCAAGGTGATGGGCAACAAGCTGTAAGATAAAATAAACCCATTCTTCCCCAACTTGCTTTTGATCTTGGTGATGTTGAAGATCTTAGATTAAAATACATTTTTCTTCTTTTCCTTCCTCCTTTCTTTCTTTCTTTCTTTCTTTTTTGTTTGTTTGTTTTTCACGACAGAGTTTCTCTGTGTAGTCCTGGCTGTCCTGTAGCTTGCTCTGTAGATCAGGCTGGCCTTGAACTCAAAGATCCACCTGCTTCTGCTTCCCGGGTTTTGGGATTAAAAGCATGCATCACCACCACACAGCCACAAATAATTTCTTAAAAAAAAGTTGAAACCAAATGCTCAAATATCCAACTATATGGAAAATGTAATCTAGTACAGAACACCATAATAATCTGATTTTTATTTTTCTTTTTTTTAACTTTTTTTATTGAGAAAAGAGAAAAAAAAACAAATTTCCTCCTCCTCCCAGCCTCCCATTTCCCTCCCCCTCCTCCCACCCTTCTCCCGCTCCCCCCACTCCTCTACCCCTCCCTCTCCAGCCCAAAGAGCAGTCAGATTTCCCTGCCCTGTGGTAAGTCCTAGGTCCTCTCCCATCTGTGCATTTCTAGGAAGGTGAACATCCAAACTGGCTAGGCTCCCACAAAGCCAGCACATTACGTAGGTTCAAAACCCCGTGCCATTGTCCTTGGGTTCTCATCAGCCCTCATTGTTCGCCATGCTCAGAGAGTCCAGTTTTATCCCATGCTTTTTCAGTCACAGTCCAGCTGGCCTTGGTGAGCTCCCAATAGATCAGCTCCACTGTCTCAGTGGGTGGGTGCTCCCCTCGTGGTCCCGAATTCTTTGCTCATGTTCTCCCTCCTTCTGCTCCTCATCGGGACCTTGGGAGCTCAGTCCAGTGCTCCAGTGTGGGTCTCTGTCTCTGTCTCCATCCATCACCAGATGAAGGTTCTATGATGATATGCAAGATATTCGTCAGTATTGCTATAGGATAGGGTCATTTCAGGTTCCCCATCCTCAGCTGCCCAAGGAACTAACTGGGGACCTCGGCTTGGGTATCTGGGAGCCACTCTAGGTTCAAGTCTCTTGCCAACCCTAAGGTGGCTCCCATAACTAAGAACTGTGCTACCGTGCTCCCCCATCCAATCTTCCTTCATCCCAATCCTCCCCCTTTCCCAAGCTCCCCCCCATACTCCCCCTCTCCCCCCTCTCTCCCCATCACCCCTTACCCCCATCCCACCCCACCCCCAAGATCTCAATTTTCTCCCCGGCAATTTTGTCTACTTCCCATAGCCAAGAGGACAACTATATGCTTTTCCTTTGGTTCACCTTCTTACTTAGCTTCTTTGGGATCACCAAGTGTAGACTCCGTGACGCTTGTTTATGGCTAGAAACCAATTATGAGTGAGTACATCCCATGTTCATCATTTTGGCTCTGGGATACCTCACTCAGGATAGTCTTTTCTATTTCCATCCATTTGCATGCAAAATTTGAGAAGTCATTGTTTTTTAACGCAGCATAGTACTCTAATGTGTAGATATTCCACACTTTCTTCATCCATTCTTCCATTGAAGGGCATCTAGGTTGTTTCCAGGTTCTGGCTATTACAAATAATACTGCTATGAACATAGTTGAACAAATGCTCTTGTCATATGATAGGGCATCTCTTGGGTATATTCCCAGGAGTGGTATTGCTGGGTCCACGGGTAAGTTGATCCCGAATTTCCTGAGAAACCGAAACACCGATTTCCAAAGTGGTTGCACAAGATTGCATTCCCACCAGCAATGGATGAGTGTTCCCCTTCCTCCACAGCCTCTCCAGCAAAGGCTATCATTGGAGTTTTTTATTTTAGCAATTCAGACAGGTGTAAGATGATATCTCAAAGTTGTTTTGATTTGCATTTCCCTGATTGCTAAGGAAGTTGAGCATGACCTTAAGTGTCTTTTGGCCATTTGAACTTCCTCTGCTGAGAATTCTCTGTTCAGTTCAGTGCCCCATTTTTTAATTGGGTTAATTAGCATTTTAAAGTCTAGTTTCCTGAGTTCTCTATATGTTTTGGAGATCAGACCTTTGTCTGTTGTGGGGTTGGTGAAGATCTTCTCCCAGTCAGTAGGTTGCCTATTTGTCTTGGTGACAGTGTCCTTTGCTTTACAGAAGCTTCTCAGTTTTAGTAGGTCCCATTTATTCAATGTTGCCCTTAAAGTCTGTGCTGTTGGGGTTACACATAGGAAGCGATCTCCTGTGCCCATCTCCTGTAGGGTACTTCCCACTTTCTCTTCTATCAGGTTCACTGTGTTCTGACTGATAGTGAGGTCTTTAATCCATTTGGACTTGAGTTTTGTGCATGGTGATAGATATGGTTCTATTTTCATTCTTCTACAGGTTGACATCCAGTTATGCCAGCACCATTTGTTGAAGATGCTTTCTTTCTTCCATTGTATACTTTTGGCTCCTTTCTCAAAAATGAGGTGTTCATAGGTTTGTGGGTTAAAATTCGGGTCTTCTATACGATTCCATTGGTCAACTTCTCTGTTTTTATGCCAGTACCACACTGTTTTCATCACTGTAGCTCTGTAATAGAGTTTGAAGTCAGGGATGGTAATGCCTCCAGACAATCCTTTATTGTATAGGATTGTTTTGGCTATCCAGGGTTTTTTGTTTTTCCATATAAAGTTGATTATTGTCCTCTCAAGATCTGTGAAGAATTTTGATGGGACCCTGATGGGTATTGCATTTAATCTATAAATTGCCTTTGGTAGAATTGCCATTTTTACTATGTTGATCCTCCCAATCCAAGAGCAAGGAAGGTCCTTCCATTTTCTGGTATACTCCTCAATTTCTTTCTTCAATGCCTTAAAGTTCTTGTCAAATAGATCTTTCACTTCCTTGGTTAGAGTTACCCCAAGATATTTTATGCTGTTTTTGGCTATTGTGAAAGGTGAAGCTTCTCTGATTTCCTTCTCTGCTTCCATATCCTTTGTGTATAAGAAGGTGACTGATTTTTTGGAGTTTATCTTGTATCCTGCCACATTACTAAAGGTGTTTATCAGCTGTAAAAGTTCTTTGGTGGAGTTTTGGGGGTCGCTTATGTACACTATCATATCTTCTGCAAATAATGAAAGTTTAACTTCTTCCTTTCCAAATCGAATCCATTTGATCCCCTTATGTTGTCTTATTGCTATTGCTAGAACTTCAAGTACTATATTGAAAAAGTATGGCGAGAGTGGACAGCCTTGTCGTGTTCCTGAGTTTAGTGGAATGGCTTTAAGTTTCTCTCCATTTAATTTAATGTTAGCTGTCCGCTTGCTGTATATAGCTTTTATTATATTTAGGTATGACCCTTGTATCCCTAATCTCTCCAATACTTTTATCATAAAGTGGTGTTGAATTTTGTCAAATGCTTTTTCAGCATCTAATGAAATAATCATATGGTTTTTTTCTTTCAGTTTATTTATATGCTGGATTACATTGATAGATTTTCGTATGTTGAACCAGCCCTGCATCCCGGGGATGAAGCCTACTTGATCATAATGGATAATTTTTCTAATGTGTTCTTCGATTCGGTTTGCCAGTATTTTCTTGAGGATTTTTGCGTCGATGTTCATGAGTGAGATTGGTCTATAATTTTCTTTCTTGGTTGAGTCTTTGTGCGGTTTTGGTATCAGAGTAACTGTAGCTTCATAAAAGGAATTTGGCAATGACTCTTCTGTTTCTATATTGTGAAATACATTAAGGAGTATAGGTATTAGCTCTTCTTGGAAGTTCTGGTAGAATTCTGCATTGAAACCATCTGGTCCTGGGCTTTTTTTGGTAGGGAGGTTTTTGATAACCTCTTCTAATTCTTCGCGACTAACAGGTCTATTTAGATTGTTCACCTGGTCCTGGTTTAACTTTGGTTTATGGCATTTATCTAAAAAAGTGTCCATTTCCTTTACATTTTCCAGTTTTGTGGCATATAGGCTTTTGTAGTAAGATCTAATGATTCTCTGAATTTCCTCTGTGTCTGTGGTTATGTCCCCCTTTTCATTTCTGATCTTATTAATTTGCAAATTCTCTCTCTGCCAT